GGACATCAAACCATCACGCTGTATGCCTTCAACTGATAACAGTGACGTGTGCCAATTGTTCTTGGTAAAACTCGGGGGGAGAATCCATGCTTGTGACGACTGTTTAGATGATCTCCTACAGAGCTGTGAATTCTTAACCCAGCACCTTCCAGGGCAGCCTCCGCACCCTCCTCCCCATTCCACATCTGCTCACTGGTCGTCTGCAGCTCTGGGCTGTTACTCCTGTTCTCTCTTCCTGAATTCGTCTCCTCTCACTTGCTGAATCCTCTGCAGCCTGTCAGACTCACCGAGAGCCTTGGCCTGAGCATATGTGTCTCTAACAAAATCCCATTTCATACTGATCACTGTCCATTGTTGCGTTAATTTGTCAATCACGTCTTAGATGTGTCCTCCAGCTTGGCTCTTCTGTGAAGGCATCAGATGTGTCTCCCGTCTCCCCCCACCAGTGCCTAAGCCTATACTTGGTTGATAGAACATTCCTTTCTTTTTTTTTTTTTTTTAAGTTTATTTATTTAGTTTGAGAGAGACAGAAAAAACGAGAGCACAGGTGGGGTAGGGTCAGAGAGAGGGGAAGACGGAATCCCAAGCAAGCTCCGCACCATCGGCGCAGAGCCCGATGTGGGGCTTGAACTCATGAACCGCGAGATCATGACCCGAGCCAAGATCGAGAGTCCACCCCTTGACCGACCGCACCGCCCAGGCGCCCCTAACAGACCACTTCTTAAACAACTGCTTGCAGACATGCACAAAGCTCTTATTGGCCTTACTCAACTCCAGCCTGGCTTTCCCATTCCTGACGCCACTCCGGGCAAATACGCCCAAACGACACGCTGTGCACGAGTGAACAAGACCAACCTCTTCACGTGATCGGGAACACAGACAAACGGGCAAAATGTGTGAGGCAAAAGACGTGTTAGGCACCCAGGGGCACGGCCACCCCAACCTCTGGGGCCACAAGAAGGTTATTTGGCAAGTCTGATGCCGACACTGAACTTTTAAGGATTGTGTGGTGGTAACGACAACAGATGCTTACGGAACGTGTCCCCCCCCCCTTCCTGGCACTTCAAACGTGCCACCTCGCGTAACCCTCTCGATAATTCCGTGAGGGAGAGGCTATGGTTATCCCATTTTGCTGACGAGAAAACTGGGGGCTGAGGTAGAATAATTAAGCCCAGGGTTATCGGTAAGCGGGACGAGGAAGACTGAAGCCCAGGCAGGCTGGCTCCCAGAGCCCACCGCTTTAACCAGTATTCCCGCCTTCCTCTCAGGGAGGTTAGTCACTGAGGAGGGAGAGAAAGGACGCTCCGGGCCGAAGGCCCTGCACACGTAAAGGACACGTGTGAGAAGCTCAAGCAGCCTGCAGAGCGAAGCTGAAGGAGCTTTCTACAAGCCTCTGACAGTTCCAGGGGAGGCTCTGGTTCCTCTGAGATGGACATTTCGTCATTTTCCAATGAAGGAACAGTGTAGCCACTCAGCCCTGGGCTGTGCCGTACAGAGGCCTTTTGTGAGCTGTGTCCGCCCTGCCCGCCTGTCCTCGCGGCCCAGTGTGGTCCCTGCTGTGCATCAGCAAGCAGATCTCGGACCTTGCCTCAGCCCCGTGGAATGAAGGGATCCGGAAAGATCCCAAGAGCTACCCTAGCTCATCTCTCTGCTTCCAGAAAGGACTTTTCTGTACTGTCAGACTTCTAGGGAAGACACCACAACTCCCTTGACCTCCCACTGCCGTGTCAAATCACCCTTTCTATGAAGACACACTTCCTTGGGTCTAATATAATTCCTTCCTGCTCAAAAAGCCTGGCTTCTCAGCTCTGTCTTCTTGTGTGGCAGAACAGTAGGTGACCTCTGAAAAGACTGCCTCCAACACCTGTGACACAGCCACCCTTGGACCCCGGGATCTGGATTTTCCTCCTGGCCCAACCCCTTGCGAGCCGTGTGACATCTGACAAATCACTCAACCTTTCAGTGATTCAGGTTCTCATCTGTAAAATGGGCACAGTCATACTTGTCTCTGAGGACGAAACATAGACAAAAGACTTCACACAGTGCCTAACTCATCATAAACGCTCATCAAATTGGAGCCTAAAAAGTGAAAAAGCTAATCTCTTGGGCACCTGCGAGTCCGCACACAATTTGGGGACTAACAAAGCTCTGGTCAGCTTTTCCAGAAAGAACAACAACAACAACAACAAACAACAACAAATCAAATGCCTGAAAATAGTGAGTACACCTGTAGCCTTCTTTTCTACCAGTACGCAGAACTATTTGTAAGGAGCAGTTACCTATCAGTTACGCGTCAGTTATAAAAGTGTTAAAATAAATCCATGAAGGCAAAGAAAAAAAGAGAAAGACACAAGCACCATCCTGCCGTTGCCATGACAACGAGGCAGGTTACCTGGACAAAGATTTTGGAAGTCTCTTAAAAGAATAGCCAGAGATGTTTCCATCTCTTTGGGGAGGGACAGAGTCTTTCTTTATCTTCCACTAAAATGCACTTGTATGCTGAATGTGTCCCAATTAACACAGGGCAACATCTGAGAGGAGCGAGGACAGGACGTTGTGAGCAAGCAGGTGGTGAGATGGAAAGAGAGTTGGCAGGGGGCTGCGAGGTAGAGGAAATATCAGTGGAAAACGCCAAGATCAAACTGCCAGGATCTGCATTGTTTCATTTAAAATGCCCAAAGAGCATTCACTCAAAAGCATCATCCTCACCCACAAAGACCCCCAACCGCCGCAGATTAACTTTGTAAGAAATTGAATCTTCACCGAGAACACTCTCCTTTCTATTAACAGTAGCGACGCGAAGAAAGTGATTAAAAACTGTGGTGGGCAAGATTTTTCCCTGAAAGTCATTTTTTTTCATACGTAAAGGAATAAAGAGCTTGGGACTCATGACGCGCGTCCCCCCCCCCCCCCATCTCCTCGGGTGTTGCATACAGGTCGTGTGTCTGTGTATGTATGTGTTTCCCTCCTACGATCCGCAGTTTACACGTAACATAATAATCTTGCACACCTCTCTCTCATTTTTGAGTTAATCGATAGCATTTTTAAAGCAGCAAATAGGGGCTATTTGTAATAGTATTTCCTTTAATTGCATATTTTTCAAACACAAGACTATTAAAGTAGCTGTCCATGAAAGCACCCATTCAACTCTCCTCTGAGGTGCCCCTTCATTCTGAAAGGGCTCACTCGTCAAGCTCAATAGCATCTCTTGGCTGCCTGAGAAAAAGCACTGGAGGGAAAAAAAAAAAAAAAAAAAAGCAACCTATTTTCCAGATCAAAGTAATCCCTACTCCATTGCCATGGCTGCAGACGTCTCTTTCTTCTTTTCATTGACCAGACAAGGTCCTTCTCAGCGCCCTGCTTCTTTTTTTTTTTTTTTTTTTTTTTTTTTTTTTTTTTTTTTTTTTTTTT